CTTTGAAAACCGTGGCGCCGCCCCTGCAATTGGATGTATAAATAGTAAAAATGTAATATCGAATGTTATCATTAGTATCAGGGCGATAGCCTCTGGGGGGGGGGGGCAAGGAGGCAGCTGCCCTCAACTAGATTTTTGGGCAAAATTAAAAAATAAGCTTAGCTAATTATCGTAAATAACCCTAACGTGATTTTGTGGTCACTTATCACCTGTCTCAGACCCACCCCCACCAAACTATGGACGTCGATCAAGAGCTGCGCCCGTCCCTCATCATTAAACAGTTGAGTCATGAAATTTTGCCCCTTCCACTAGGAATTTGCGCAGCCTACGGCCCTGAGCATGTGCATATGTTGAGTATTCATATGTTCATACCATCTCGAATCTATGTGAATAAATATTTGCATAGATTCTCACTGCATTTTATATAATCATGAACATATGTATACTCCTACTGTACTATAGCATATAGTATAGATATGTTACGATATAATATACCTATACATTTTATTAAAAACATATCTGGTATGTATTATTCTCTACCACACAGACACGTGGAGCTGTCTTCTTCCTGGTTGGTGTTGTTTCGTTGTTGCTATTTGATCATGACGATACAGCACATGCGGAACATCGTATCCTTTACATGTAAAAATTTTCTGTGAAACCTAGTAGAATCGGGTATACAAGTGCTAATTTTAATAACAGCAGCACTTCCTGGTCTACATAGTTGTCATCAAAATCTTGTGTGTTGTGTCTTAGCACAAATAATCTTGATTTTTTAAGCTTAAACAAAAAGTAGGCCTGCAATGTGCACTTAGGTTATTTATTATACACCTGTGATCATAGGTTATTTCTAAAATGAAAGTATCTTCAACAATATTTAGCATGTTTCATTATGGAAAGGGTTAGTTATGGTTATCTTTGACATTCACAAAGCTGAAGGTCATCAGCACCACAATGGAATTAGTCATCTTTTCTACCATTTTGTTAACTGGATGGAAATAGCCGACCACAAGGTATGTGTTTGCCCATACTACAAACTACACGAAATTTTGCATACAAATAAAACTTAGTGGATTCCTTTGCTGTGGAATTTGTGGCAATAATTATAATAACGAGCCCATAAATTATCTTATGTCAGTCATAGTTTTCAATATCAATGTCATTTACTCAATATCTCGTCACGTATGCATATACCGTAGATTTCTGTTATTACAGGCAGGAGTCGTGCTGCTTTTTGTCACTCTCTGTTTGAACGTTGGGTACAATACAGCTGCCAAAAAGTTGTCAGTAGATGTTGGAGGAGCGAAAAAGCTGCAGACCCTCTCTAGCTTGGTGTCCGCTGTGCTATTGGCGCCACTAGTTTTTATTCTCATAGTTACACAGCAGGTAAGTGTTCCATAAGGAAAGGACGATTTTGATTGTTTCTTTCTGTTTTCAATTCTAAATGCTCATATATATATATATATATATATATGGCTAGTAGGTAGTGCTAGTACTCACTATACACTTTTGCATATTATATATACCATATAACTGTATACATTTAGCAACTTGATTAAAATTGTAAACGATAAGTTTTGTAAACGATAAATTCTTGTTGTTATCTAGAGCTCCGTTGTGCTATGGCTGCCAAATACCATTCCGATTGCATTCATCATCGTCTTCGTGTTCGTTGTGAGCTACTACGTCGAAGCTGTCTGCTCGACAAAGCTGGAACTGTCCAGCCTAGCGCGGTTTGGCGCCGTTGGCAGTTTTCTCAGCGCGATCCTTCTGAGCGGCCTCTGGTGGCAGCAGCGCACAATGAGTGATGCAGATTTGGAGGCGGACAGCATAACGGAAGACAGGGTTCTCAGTCCCGAGCACATGCTGTCGGGCGGCGTCATCTTTAGCTGTGTTGTCATCGTGCAGGGTGAGTAGTGAAGCTGCAGAGTATACTGGCGGTGACGTTAGGGGTAGACGTCCTGTGTTATTTAACATGAGTAAATCCACAGCAAATCATGGTGTTAAAAATATGAAATGTGAACACTGAAAATTACTGAAAATTATGTTTGTCAGTGTGAGGCATTGTTTCTTGTTTTCATTTTGGTTATTGTATCGTTCCACCCACCCTTTCCCCTCCTCTCTCCTTCCCTCTCTGTCTCTCTCTCTCTTTCTCTCACTTTCTCTCGCTCTCACTCTCTCTTTCTCTCACTTTCTCTCGCTCTCACTCTCTCTCTCTCTCGCTGGCCCTCTCCCTCTCTTCCTTTCCCCTCTCCCTTCCTCTCGCTCTCACTCTCTCCCCCTCTCTCTCACTCCCTCTCTCTCCCTCTCTGTCTCCCTGTTTCAGTCTCTGTCTCTCCCTGCCTCCCTCCCACCTCACCCCTCTCTCATTCTGTCCACCATGCTGACTTCGTTTTTCTCGCCCCGGCATTGCCGCAGCGACGTTCACGCTGTCGAGCAAGCACAGCAGCTCGCGCGGCACGTTCATCGGCTACTCGGCGGCCGGCCTGCCGCTCTACCAGCTGCACAGCAAGGCGATGCTGCAGCGCACTTCCGAGTCCGTCGTCAAGGTGCTGCGCAGCGGGCTCGCGCAGATCCTCGACGAGTCCGACTCGCGGCAGATATTCTACTTCCTCTGCGTGAACCTGGCAAGTAGACGTGAGGCGGTTCACGTTCGGTCATTGTTTGGAATTCCATCTGCGCATTCAGATACTGGGAGGCTGGCTGCGCATTCGGATAATGTTTGGGAATCTGTTTGCGCATTCAGACACCGATTGGAAGTCTGTCTGCTCATTTGGATACCCTTTGGTAGTCCGTCTGTGCATTCAGACACTGTTTGGGCTTCTGTCTGTGCATTCGGACACCGTTTTGGAGTCTGTCTGTCTGTCTGTCTGTCTGTCTGTCCCATGGTGCAGGTCGGTGCCCCATGATTCAGTTTGATTCGTGTTTGTCCAGTCGGTCATCAATGAATGCATTACAAAGTGTGAGTGAAATGCTTAATCATCTGTCACATCGCACTTCATCGTCTGTCATCACGCTTCATCGTCTGTGACTGTACTTCGTGGTCTGTGACCGTGCTTCATCGTCTGTGACTGTGCTTCATCGTCTGTGACCTTAAGGGCTGTAGCCTGCGGGGGGGGGGGGAGCTGCCCCCCTAGATTTTGTCCCCCCTAAATTGTTCTACTAAAAGAGAATTGTCGTAGTCAGAATGAAGGCTGTACATGTACTCAAAAGTGCTTCAAATATCATCTCCAGCGATCTACATTTACAAAAATTTTTGTGGGAGGACCCCCAGACCCCCCACCTGTTTCTCACCCCTTCCTCGAAATCCTGGATCTGCCACTGCCTCCCCTAGGAATTTTCTCAGCCTACGGCCCTGACCTTGCTTCATCATCTGTGGCCATACTTCATCGTCTGCGGCCATGCTTCATGATTATCGTCTGTGACTGTGCTTCATCGTCTGTGATCGTGCTTCATCGTCTGTGATCGTGCTTCATCGTCTGTGATCGTGCTTCATCGTCTGTGATCGTGCTTCATCGTCTGTGCTTGTGCTTCATCGTCTGTTACCGTGCTTCTTCACCTTTGCTCTTGCTTTATTGTCTGTGATCGCGCGCTTCATCGTCTGTGACATTGCTTCATTGTCTGTGCTTGTGCTTCATCGTCTGTTACCGTGCTTCTTCACCTTTGCTCTTGCTTTATTGTCTGTGATCGCGCTTCATCGTCTGCAACATGCACAGGCGTTCACCTTCGTAGAGCTCGTCTACGGAGCATGGACGAACAGCCTCGGCCTCATCTCCGACGGCTTCCACATGCTGTTCGACTGCTCTGCGCTAGTCATGGGCCTTTATGCCGCTGTGATGAGTCGATGGAAGGCAAACAGGATATTTTCCTACGGGTGAGCCCCCCTCGTCAGTCAGCATGTCCAGCGTTCTCATATTATTATAACTATTATATAGGTTAATTTAAAGCTATTATATTATAACCATTTTACTTACAATTGCCAATTGCTAACTGACATCATGTTGCCATATTGGTGCTTCCAGGTATGGAAGGGTAAACATACTGTCAGGCTTCATCAACGGACTCTTCTTAGTGGTGATTGCACTCTTTGTATTTGCGGAAGCTGCGACTAGACTCTTTGACCCTCCGCAAGTGCTTACCGAGAGGTTACTGGTAAGTGGTACCCCAGAACCACACCCTAACGATGTAGCTATGTAACTGCAGTTATGTTCGTGTAATTGACCCGTCTGCTAGGGGTGATTGAAATGTGGTTCTAGCCAATCAGCATTGCGATAAAGGCGTTCTAAAAGTGCTGCTCGGTAATGAAGTGCTGCAAAGTCAATACTGTATGCGCTGTATATTTCGCGGTGGTTTAATTTTCGCGAATTTCGCGAACGCGTTCCGACCGCGAAAATAACAACACCCGAATAATTCATACCGAATAATACCGAATAATTCATATTTCACCGACTGCGTAATTAACCACTCGCGAAATTGTCCGTCAAGTCTGAATTCGCAAAATATCTGTATGCAAAAAATATGGCATATACAGGTATGCCCGCATGAAAAGCGTTAAACCGGTCGAGCTTGATCCGTGTAGCAACGATATCCAAGCAGGAGTGGTTATCTCACTAAGATCGATAGGTCAATTATTAGTCAGTTCTATGGTAGGATATTGAAATCTTTCTTTGACAATTATCGTTGTCTCTCTCTGCAGACCGTCTCAGTCGCAGGCCTCTTTGTCAACCTGATTGGCATTTTCGCATTTCGGCATGCACACATGCATGCGCACGGTGGTGGACATGGCCATAGCCATGGGCATGGTCATAGTCACCAGCACAGTCACGGTCATGAGCATAGCCATGGTGGAGAGCTACATACAGGCAACACCAACATGAGAGGTAAGATCGTAGCGACATATTGAGCAACAGACTCTTGGTCTGGCTTGGTAACATCGATTATGCGTATTTATGGTGATGAGGTTTTTTTATTCTTTCCTAGTAACGGTTCCTTGTATGTCAGGTACATATATTCTCAGAGAAAAACGATGCAGCATTTTTGGGTGTTGTTATCATATCAATGTAAAAATTGTTTGCATCACCAACATCAATTACATCCGGAGCAAAATAATAAAGGATAGTATAATAGTATAAGAAACGATACTGACTTTATGCAATAATCTCATTCCTGATCACTTCCTATTCGATCATCGTATCGCATCTGGTCACGCGCGCGTGGCCGTGTGCGTTATTTTTAGCTCACCTTGACATCGTCAAGCTGAGCTATTGCCATGGGTCGTCGTACGTCCGTCCGTCCATCCGTCCGTCCGTCCATCAACATTTGGCTACGGTCAACGATAACTCAGGAATCGTTTGACCCACATGTTTGAAATTGGGTATAATTGTTAATGCTATGCTCCCATATTAAACGTCCTATTTTGGAGCACGCCAGTCGACGTACTTTCGAGCCACGGCAATTTTTTGCCAAAAATGGGAATTGCCATTAGTCAGTTCAGGTTCAACGGATTTTGCTCATTTTTGGTATGTGAATGAATAAGGGCTAGGGGTTTTGATATTAAAAAAAATATTATGCAAATTAGGTAGGGTTTGGCAATTATATAGACACGCAGATAACAAACAGTCTGTGGTGTCACACTCGTCTGGTTCGTTTTACAAGATTTCATTGACAATATCTGTAATGCAAAATTCCTGCTATGAACATATTATGATTTATATTATTATTATGATATAATGATTTATGCTAAGAAACATCAAAGCGGGTATAGCGCCATCTACCATCACAAATTGTGATTGATTTTGGTTTATAAATTATTATTCATTATTTTCACATAAAAATTACACATAATTATCAAGAGTATATAATGGGAGTTTTCCCATATATACTCTTCGTTTCTATAATGTACGTCGATGGTTGCTCAATTAAAACTGACTTCTTCTCACTCACTCATTTGTGTCCTTTTTTGTGGTGAGCTACAGTGTCATTGACCCTTTCATTACCTCCGCCGTTCCTCGTCACGGGTTCCCGTTGGCTTTCAGGCGTGTTCCTGCACGTCGTGGCCGACACGCTGGGCAGCGTCGGCGTCATCATCTCGTCGCTGCTCATCGAGAACTTCGGCTGGCACGTCGCCGACCCCATCTGCTCGCTCTTCATCGCCTGCATGATCTTCCTCAGCGTGCTGCCGCTGCTGCGCGACTCAGCGCTCATCCTAGCTCTGCGAGTGCCAGTGGACATCGAGAAGGACCTAGCGGCGGCATTAGACCAGGTGGGATATATGGGTGGTTCCACGTTTTTACTGGCTTCCCACGTTTATGAGCGCTATAGGAATCGATATGGGTATCTCGGGGGGGGGGGGGGGGGTGGTCAGGCAGACGTGAATTATATACTCAAATGATTATGCTTTGTCAGATGAATTGAAAATGTGAGAATTACATCAGGTTTTTGTCGTTGCACACGTTTGTGAATTTCTGCTGCATGGTGACTTGAATTTCGTATGTTCGCATGTGCCACGTCTACAGGTGCAACATGTAAAGGGAGTATTGGCGTACAGAAACGCACGTTTCTGGCAGCACAGCTCTGAAGTTGTGGCTGGAACTGTCCACGTTCAGGTCGCCCCCGATTGTTCAGAACAGTTCGTCACAAACCAGGTATGTTTTCACTAAAAGAATATATTTTTTCTGCAATAGATGTAACTATTTGTCACACTAGCTAAATACTTAATTGTTGCTGTTTTGTATAGAACTTAGAACTCTGTAATATCTAACGCAATGAAAACGTAATTTGGTTTCTATTTGGGTGGATTGACATGTCTCTGACAATGCTAATAATGTTGATAAAATGAACTTTTAGTCGATTAGGCGTTCATTTTCTTTCAATTTTTTTTTTACTTCAGGTTGTGAAAATTCTGAGGGAAGCTGGAGTCCACAACCTAACGGTACAGGTAGAAAAGGAGGCTTATTACCAGCACATGTCTGGTCTAACTGGCACCGCTTATCAGCAGATGTTCAAGGACGCACAGACGATGAAGTTGTTGGCAAACAAAAATAGCACAATTATCGAGCTAGTCAAAGACATTTGATGCTCTCGCTTGCCACTGCATGCACATATACGTACATCAGATGACACATAATATGTATATTTTTTTATTTATTTTATTATGCGTGAAAAGTGTGCCGATTCTATCTAGTGTGCCCTTAAAGAGCGCATGTAAATAGAAAATGCTTTATGTCCTACGGTAGGGTTTATTTGAGTTGCGTATGACATTGCATACTGTATAACGTACTACATAAGCAGATCATCATACTGTTTTCTCAAAATTCCACTTGTTTCGAATTTTCGATTTGGGATCATTCATTATTATATTGCATTACGATTTTACATTACCCCTGTGACAACATGAGTCACAACCCATTTTGGTAAAGAATCATAGCAAAGCATCCCACTTCGTAGTAAGAAAAATCTAGTATGATTTTACAGCAGTTATATTAGTGTTAATTCCGTGATAAATACAGTGCCGAAGTCTGGTAATATCACCACTATGAATCTAAATTGCTTTTGGTCTTCTGTGAATTATAGCATTCCCTAGTAAATTATTAGACGTCTGAAAAACACATGCTCATTTATACACATATTTATTAGGCATGCTGGCAGAGATTACAAGGCCAGTCTTGAATAAATTCGTATTTGAATTACTCCAGCAGTCTTTTTTAACTTTAATTTTAATTATTGCAATAAGGCTGAAATATTACAATGCAAGCGTGTTGCAATGTTTTGTATTGTAATGTCCCTCTCACAGGATCCCATGTGTTTAGATAACGATGAAGATTTGTATTGTGATGGCTGTACAATTCCATGCAGGTGTCACTTTAGCTTGCAATTCCTGTTGCTTACAATAGCTTGCAAATGTTTAACCATAATTCGCATAACGATGGTATAGAGCTGCGCATTTTCTGCAACAATGACAATAAACATGTTCCGCTTCTTTAAAACCACCACTGAAACGTGTGACTGGCATATAGCAAACAAAAAATTATTAAAAGATTGGATTAATTATATGTGATCAATTAATATTCCATTATAATACTGACGAAGATGTGTTGGTACCCTATTTTCAGTTGTTATATTATACTACAGAGATCATATTATATTACTAGCAAGGAAATATTGTGGACTTTCTTGTAAAGAAAAATTTGTACATACGTGTTCACTACGTCATAATACAAAATTTGATTTTTTCAAAAATGATGGGACGTGAGGTCTAGATGGTGCAAATCATGGACTAAGTTCGGTACTTCGTACGTGCTTTTGCGATATATGAAATGTGAAGATAATAGGTATAGCGGCTTAGGCTCATGTGTGAAATTGTTTCTGAGAATCCCAGCTAGGATACACATTTGAAATCTAGACGGGCTGTTCAGATTCTAAACAACACTAAGTGGCGCATATATATACTCTGCTCAAATTCCATATATCTCGCATGTTTTCAGTACAAGATAAAAAAACATCCTCATAAGGAAAGTACTGTGCAATGAACCTGAATGTGGTAAAATGTGACACTCTTAGTCTATAATAAAGATCTAATAGCAGTTATTTACAGATAAAACGAGTAGTTAACTTATATTTAAATTATCACAAAGCTTTATAAGGATGTAGAATGCAATCATAGTTGTTAAATTGTTATCTGTATGGATTAAAATCCGTGTCAAAATGTAAAATAACATATAACATAAAGAATGAGTTGTATGTGAAACTATACGACACTTTTAATTGTGAAACTGTATTGAACTGTAAATAAAAAACTAAAACTAATATTTTCATGCATTGGATTTTGTTGCTATGCGTGTGTGCGTGTGCGTATGCGTGTATATATGTCAGTATATTTTGTACCAAAGACATTATCAGATACTTCATTAGACATTTATCAGACGTTAAAATCATTTACTGTATCATGCATCAGCTCACGATGTTGATAAACCTAGCAACATACATGATCATTCTCGCATAAGGAGATAAACTACTGTAGAACACGAACACAAACCTTCAGGCAAATGTCAACTGTGACTATATGTTTTAATTATAGGAGTACATTAACAGGAAACGATGGTCTAACAGGAGACAATTACCTAGGTGCATGCCTAACCAGTTTGTAGAGAAGTGATATTAGTCACTACAACATGAAATATCGATAAAAAGTTTGCATGTGAACTTTTTTTGTCCCATTCTAATGAGTGTGTAGGGGTTATCTACACGTACTCCTGCGGGTCGGTTGCCTGATGACCGCGTGTTTTCCTCGATCGCTTCCTGTCTTGTTGGACCGGACTTGCTAAACTGGTGCCAACTCTTGGCAGGAGACTTTGTTGCCGTTGAAACTGCATCGCATACGCATCTTGAGGGTCTTTTGAACTAGTACTTGTCATCACGGAATGCTGTGCCCTATTTGCAGCCACCTGCTCGTTAGAGTGAAGAACATCTCCACTTCTATTACCTGTCAGATCATCAAAGGAATTAATTATCAAGAATTGGCGATTTAGCCTCTACATATATGTTATTGCAGTAAAAATACCCCAATTATCAGACCACTTTTCCCATCTCGGTCTCTTGTCATAGGTGGAGTGGGCATCATTCAATGTCTTGCCATGCTTCCATGCAGTGAAGGAAACCCCTTGAGGCAAGGAAGAAACTTTCTCTCGCTGTCTCTCTCTCTCTCTCTTTCTCTCTCCCTCTCTGTCTCTCTCGCGCTCTCTCTCCCTCGCTCTCACACGTGCTTTCTCTCCAAATAATATATATATTCCTTTCTATCTCTTTTTCTCACTCTCACACCTCATCTTTCTTTGTCCTCTCCCCTGTAACCTTCATTCCCTAGTAACTTTATCAACATAATCTTATCAAACTGTATCTCTAACCCTAACCCTTATCTACACCCACCGATGACCTGACGTCTGGCATTCTGCTGACCGATTACATCCCTCAGCTGTAGATGTTGCGTGTATGGAAATGTTGAGTATTTCGCGTAAATCGGGCTGTGTGCCGGCTGCTCATTGACACTGTGAAAAAAGTGTACGACATTACTGCAACATCACTCTCTATACGTTGCAACATTTCAACCTTTCCACGCTATGGAAATTTAGTTAGTGAGATTAAATGAATCAGTCGGGCAAGGTATAAGATATATGTATGTGTGCTGAGAGCGATCTTTACCTATGTCTCACTGGTGATTCCCAGTGCTGTAAGGCCATGTGCTGAGATGCTCCTGGTGTTAATGGAGGTTGGCCCCATCGATTGGCCAACTGCCGATGAGCGGGAGGTGGTGGCGCGGTATACTGCATAGCTGCTGCCATCTGGTGATGCTTCATGGACGTCGCGTTTGGATGTGCCGGCTGCTCATTGACACTGTGAAAAAAGTGTACGACATTACTGCAACATCACTCTCTATACGTTGCAACATTTCAACCTTTCCACGCTATGGAAATTTAGTTAGTGAGATTAAATGAATCAGTCGGGCAAGGTATAAGATATATGTATGTGTGCTGAGAGCGATCTTTACCTATGTCTCACTGGTGATTCCCAGTGCTGTAAGGCCATGTGCTGAGATGCGCCTGGTGTCAATGGAGGTTGGCCCCATCGATTGGCCAACTGCCGATGAGCGGGAGGTGGTGGCGCGGTATACTGCATAGCTGCTGCCATCTGGTGATGCTTCATGGACGTCGCGTTTGGCTGTTGAACGTTTACCGATATCTGTGGCAGGGGCGCTATCTGTTGGTTTGCCATGGTCGATACCTGCTGCATCACGGGCGTCGTCATTGGCTGCTGTTGCTGTTGCTGCTGGTTATGATGTTCTTCGTGCTGCGGTGATATGGTCTGTACTGTCCACGGAGCTCCTGGCTGATGCCTTTCCTCCAAGAACTGTTTCTCTCGGTCTGTAGGTCGTGATTTGCTCGCTTTACGATACGTTTTCGGTACAGTGATGTTTGAAGTTTTTTGGGGAGTTACCTTAACCTTAATAAAAAAAACTGCTTGTCAGCTTATAAGACCCCGAGATGGAACAACCATAATTTAACGGCTTATATAAGTAATAAAATTAGTAATCCAACTTATTTAAGTATCTGTATGCTGTAACATGTATGCTTCAAAATCTGATCATGGCAAGTTGCATCAAGCTATAAAGTCACTAACCTGTATTTTAGCAGGAGAAACAGCAGTGACTTCTTTTGTAGAATGGTCCTCTATGTGAATTGCCTCCTAACGTGGGTTAATGTAGTAGTTAGACAAGCGTGCGTTTTAGCATCGTATAGGATCGAGTCTGCTGTGCAATACAACTCACACACGTGGCACCATGCATCTATTAGTGTTAACATATATTTTTTAACTAAAGCATCAGTCGACCGTTATAATGCAATATTGAAACTGTTTTTCACCCAAAAATACCAATTGGGTAGTTTAATAGTTGCATATTTACCTTAGAGCTAGGTGCTCCCACATATACTGGAGTACACGAACCACTGATGTGACTGTGAGAGTGTACTACATTTTGATTGCTTACAAGAACACCAGTAGGTCCTGCTGTGTCAGCAACCAAGCTTGCATATTTAGTATCCACGTGCTTTCTCTTGGTATTCTGCACAGGATACTCTGACCTGCAAGTTTAGAATGTAACGATAAAATTACGATTGATCAGTAACGATACATGCAATTGAATAAAATTTTAAAATCGTTAGGCAAGAAAATAGATGTGCTTCTCACAGACAGACAAATCTAATATTTTGATAACATATAAAAAATTGGTGTATTTTAGCTGTAAAATTTCAGTGGAGTAAGCAAAAGATTTTTTATTAGGACTTTCTCTATACAGCAAATTTGTGATCACCTGTAGTATTCAGTTGGCTGCATTCTGAGCACATGGACCGAACTGGGAAGGTGGCGTACAACCTTTGCGGCTGGCAGCGGGTCCGGAATTAGTGAGACAAGAGTTTCACAAAGGGATGAACACGAGGATAGCAGTAGCCTAATGTTACTAAGAAGCTGCAAACACAAAGCAATATGCACGTCCACGCACATCCTCTTGAGTTTTGACCAATACCAATGTAATATTTTTACGACGAAAACGTAAAAGAGTGTAAACTCAAATATTACAAAGTTTAGATATTACATGCAGTCTCTTTTTTTATATAATTTCTAGAACACGAAATTCTGGAATTTTTAATTACACGAGTCACATGCTAAAAATGCTTGTATATTACTGCATTAAGTTAAGTAGCCAATTTTCTATTAAATAAAAGAAACATGCAAACCTAATCTAACCTATATGTACATAGCTCTTCGATCCTCAACAGGTTGTAGAAGAAAAGGTTAAACAGGTAGAATGTAAATGAACTTATACCTTATCATACTCTTGTTGTGCATTGTCAGCGGCTGGTTCATACTGATGCAGCAGTGAGATGAGGGTAGTGTAGAGCTCTGGCGCTCGTTTAACTAACTCATCGCGGATCAAGTTGATCACAGCCACAAATGGGATGATCTCTAGTTTCTGGACATCATATTCTACACACACGCACGCACGCACGCACGCACGCACGCACACACACACACACACATATATATAATATAATATTTATCATATATATGGTATCGTGATTATATATTATATATATTCAGGAGTAGATAATAGGGAATCCCTATTTATATCCCTATTATTACTCCTAGATTATATATATATAATATATATATAACAGGCCCCGTAGCCAGCTTTATATTGGGCGGGGGCGGTCGTTTTTCAATGTTGCCGCAATTTGCTCGGCAGGGGTCGTGCTACAGGATTTGTACAGGCTGGAGGGGGGGTCTAACCGTTAACCCAAAGTGCGACGCACGCGGAAGGGGGGTGTGGGGCAATTTTTTAAAATTAGACCCCCACTCAGATTGCCGTTTTCTGCGCGATCAAGGGGGGTCCGCGACTCCCTGGACACGCGCCCTCCCTGGACACTCCCTGCTACACGCCCCCTGCTCGCGGCGCGAAGCGACCAGGCGAGCGGAAAGCAATGCGACCCGGAGCCGGGGGCGAGGGGGAGGATGTGCGGAGGGACGGTGTTCACGCGTTCACTCTCCCGCACGATGCCCGAGATTTTTGCAATTAATTACACTAAAATGGCAGCGAGCGTGAGCGTGAAATCGTTGCAAATTAAAAAAAAAGGTTTTTTTGCTTTGGCGGCGGTGCGGGGAGGGGTCGTGCAAAACCCCCCGACAACCCCCCCCCCCCCCCTGGTGACGGGCTGTATATATTATATCAGGAGTCTATCAATATTGATAGACTCCTGTATATATATATATTAGAAGCAAATATATTAGTAGTATATACTATATTACTATTTAGTAGTATATACTATATTATAGTATAGTAGTTATGGCATTGTAGCAAACATTGTGACTATCATAGCTTTGACAATGATCAGCTTGAGCTTGAGCGAGAAACTGCCGTGGTCAGAATTCTGATGGTGTTCAGATGGTGCAAAACATACTTTACGTACCACATACATTTGCCAGCCAAGTGCACGTGTGGTTATTTACTAGGTTACGCGTGTAGTACATGACAGTGTATTCACACTATGGTCAGTATGGTGACCATAGAAATTTGCAGAGAGTCTAAAAAGTTTATTTCTATGAGGATGACTGTCACTGCCAATCTAAGGCTCAGACAGGGTTCGAAATTGAGGGCAGCAGTTTTTCTCTCTAAAAATGTCAGTTTGCTGCCTGCTCACTAGTGCTGATAGGGTCTATGTCCCCCAGGCTACTATCGGAGGGTACCCTGGGTACGGTTCGATATATCGGAAAGTACCTCGGGGTAATATACGATATGTCGCTGCGTACCCTGCATTGTCCCACCGTACCCTGCATTGTCCCACCGTACCCTGACTTTATGCTCCCGTTCCTAGTTTCCGGTCTGTTCTCGCAAAATATTCGTTTAAGTATTCGCATTTCTTCTGGAAATTGTATGTATCACCGTGTAATTATGCAACATGCAGGTTAATAGCACTGTTATGCCAGTGGCGTCACAACATGATTGGGGGCCTGTAAGCAAAAATGAAATTGGGGCTCTAAACATTAATATTTTTTGATGGACCGTGCGCCACAGGCGCACGGCATGAGTGCCGGAGGCAGGAAGTGTGAAGGGGGGGGGGGGGAGATATCCCCCTTAGAAAATTCTAAAATCTAGATGCTCTAAAATGCTATTTCCAGCATTCTGAGGCTATTTTGAAAGTTTGGGGGCCCCTTTAGGCTGGGGGCCCATTGCGTTTTACTACGGCAGCCCTACGACTGTGATGCCACATTTGGCATTTGGTGTACATTTGGAAAGATTTCTCTCAGATCATGAATATTTGAATGATATGAAAATGAATATGAAAATGAAAATATGAATATATGAAAAAGGAAAAAGAAAAATATAGTCAAACATAGCATACATTTTTATTAGATTGCGATGTTTTGAGGTTTCTTCTATGTGATGTGGTAACTTGACAGAGTGTATGTATTACGACATCAGTTGGCTGAAAGTCAGGGTACGGTCGGACAATGCAGGGTACGTAGCGACATATCGTATAGTACCCCGAGGCACTTTCCGATATATCGAACCGTACCCAGGGTACCCTCCGATAGTACACTGGCCCTGGGGGACATAGTCCCTATCAGCCTCACTAGTGACTATACGTTGTACTGTCACTTGTAATGCCCATACAATGTACTGCCACAACGTCGGCAGCAAATACTTGCTGCTAAACAGATTTCTAATAAAATAAATAAACCATAGTAAAAGCACCAAAGATTCTGCTTGGAGAAGGAAATTGGCTGCCTGCCTTTCTCTCTGGCAGCAAGCACTTGATTGCTGCCTGGCTAATTGTCAATTTCTGACATTTTAACAGTATGCGTTTACCTGGTGACAGCTCTTTGCACATGATGGCCTGTAGGTCGTTTTCAAGATAGACATTGGTTGGCGCAGTTCTACTGACAGTACTGTGAGACTCAGGATCCATGACGATAACACTTACAAAGCTAAAAACAAAAACACCGGGCCCCATTAGCATTTCGCCCCGCGTGCCCAAAAATAGTTGGCACCCTTTGTCCTTGAGCATTATTGCCATTTGCATTGGCATTGCTCTATACTTAGTAGGGTATTAGTATAATATATTATAATAATAAATTATTGGTATAGACTGTATAGATCATGTAAGCCTATATTATAAATCATCATCATGTGACATTGTCATTGTATATTATGTATGGATGACTTTGTAATTGTATTGAAGAAAGACGAGACTAACACTACGCCTGTATTACTAATTATTTACAGATATACTCATGCAGGAAACCATACGATGAAAATAATTGAAATACTGCATTAGTACGTGCTGCTGAGTGAGAACAAAAACATTACGTTTATTTTCCTCGGGGTACGTCTCTACGCCTACGCCTACGGCTACGACACGTACGTACGCGACGTGGTGATCATGTGGTTGTGCGAAGCAGACAATACTTTTCCCAGAGACCACCGCGGCTGTAAGTGTTTGCGTCGTTGCCGTCAGTCTACTGACTGGTCCCACGCCGCTGCGTCGCGTATAAACAACAGTCCGTTGGGTGAAATCGAACTCGTCTACGTTGCTGAGAGTGAGGGTTGTGTATAATAAAGCAAGAGCAAGAGCAAGAGTAGCTCCAAGAAACGGTATTGCTAGGGTTAGAATACCTCCAAGAAACGCTCCAAGAATAGCTCCAAGAAACGGTATTGCTAGGGTTAGAATACGTTAGTCACGTTATATGCAACGTGTATTGAAGTTAGTCACACAGCCTGGTCGGGTTAGAGCAAGAGGAGACTGTGCGACTTTAGTAATGGTTTGAATGCGATTCAGCACACGCTCATCAATATTCGTCAAAATTGTGATTAGAAGTGAAGAATATAGTGATCAGCAGCTGCACAGCGAGTACGTATCTAGCTTAGAATTGAGTGCACGATTAGTGATTCGGATACATCTCAATGAAAACTCGTAATGCCCACAGACTCACGCATTGTCATGTAGGATTGTAGGCCGTTGCCTACGTCGTTTGGCTGTGTCTGTTCAATTGTTGTTAGTAACTTAGTAGTACTACTACTAGTAGCCATTACACTTACAGTTTGAACGGCGAGCGCGGATTTCTAGTTGTTCATGTGCGATTGGTATTACTATCAGAACTAGATTCCGTAGTGAGGTGTTGCCGTTACACGTGCGCAAATTATTTACGCACGTTTCGTGCGTGGATAAATTCATGTGTGTATGATAATGATGCAGTCACCGCAAACGCTGGCGCGGGGTTTCCGAGGAAACATTGATTTTGGCCACCGCGGTTACCATACAATGATGTATACATCCACTCTAGTACTAGTGGCAGGCTCCGTAAGAGAGAACGCACGACAGAACAGTGAAAGCAGACCTGCTTTCTTTTCAGGGTAAACGCAGGTGTTGGGTGAGTGTACACATGCTCTTGGAAAACATGAGGATGAAGGGTGCTGCGACAAACAACAGTACGTGTAGCCTAGGCATGTAACGAGCAACGCGAGAAGAAGTCACGCGTGGATATGAACACGGCGAGTAATTATTTAGGAACGATATGATTTTGATGGAGCTAAAGCCAATAACGCTTGGCAAGTGAGTTGATTCCACTTGCAAGATAATTGCAGATGAAGGGGTAATATATTCCGGGTAATATAGGCCTTAGCACGACCAGGCTGTGCGACGGATTGTCTATACGGTATTGTAACCCGTTTCTTGGAGCTATATATAGGCCTATACATTTTCAAATTTCACATACATTTTATAACCGTTTACACTTCCCTAATTGTAGGGGCAAGACATTTATTATGATACCAATACCATAAACGATTTGCGCCAATGGCACCATGCAAAGTAAATTATAATGAAATTTGTGATGTTGCAATAGTGTTTTGTATATACTATAAACTATATGTGTTGCCTTAATAAATCTCTCATGGTTCTACAATTTTCTATCACTAAAGCGGCACACACAGCTTGCATTAACACGCGCTCACTGATCCACGCACACACGCACGCATACGCACACACACACACACACACACACACACACGCACACCGTTTATATGTCTAATTATAGTAGTGCGCATCATTGTTCCTGTAGAAATTAGCCCACGTGACGATGGGAGGGACACTGCGTCTGCGCTCGAGTATGCCGTTGTGATGTCGAATTTTCCCGGCATCACCATCTGCTATGTCTGCGGCGACCAGTTCGGTCCCGACGGAATCACGGAGCACGAGGCGGAGTGCCTCAGGAACTGGCACGAGGAGAACAACCGTCTTCCAAAGAGCGAGCGCAAGTTGGCTCCCCAACAGCCCTTTGAGAGTGGTTTTAAATTCGCGTACGATCTGTAAGTGTGTTTACTTAATTGTTGTTGCTGCTGCTGTTATTGTTGTAGTTATTGTCATTATTGTTGTTGTTATTGTCATTATTGTTGTTGTTGTTGTTGTTGTTGTTGTTGTTGTTGTTGTTGTTGTTGTTGTTGATGATGATGTTCTTGTTTTTGTTGTTGTTGCTGCTGTCATTGTTGTAGTTATTGTCATTATTATTGTTGTTGTTGTTGTTGTTGATTATGTTTTTGTTTTTGTTGTTGTTGATGATGATGATGCTATGGCTGTACGTGTGTGGAAGAAAATTTAATTTGCTGTTGCAGGGAATGCCTCAATCAGCTGGCATACGTGACGGCTCAAGGTCAGCTGCAGGCGTGTGGGAAGTGTGGGCGAAAGTTTAATCCCGAGCGGTTGGTGGTCCACGAGCCAAACTGCAAAGCCGCGCCAATCACGGCGAAACAACACCTTCCCGCGCAGACCAACAGGAAGAACAGCCGGGGGGCTCAGTCGAAGGTTATGCCCACATGCACCGACCAGAAACCCAGCGCAGAAAAGGACAACGGCAAGCAGAGCGAATTTAACCGGAAAGGTGACCGACGTACACGTGCTGACATATTACTGTCATTATAATAATAATAATATTATTATTATTATTATTATTACCTCCGCCAAGGGGTTGGCTGTTATTGTTATTATTATTGTTATTATTTCTGTTGTTGTTGCCATCGTCGTCGTTAGTGTAATTGCTGCTGTTGTTAACGTTTCTGTTGCTTATACTAATGTTTCCTTGTACTGCCGCTGCCATTCGCAGAAGATAAAGAACGAACGAGAGAGAGCGAGGGCAAGATAGAGAGAGCGAGAAAGAGAGAGAGAGAGAGAGAGAGAACCAATTAATTAATTAATTAAATTTTCAGGATAGGTCAGAAATGGGGTAACTTAGAATTGATTACATTTTGCTGGTGATCCGGATCCAATTAATTATTTAATTAATTAATTAATTAATTAAATTTTTCACAGTGAGAGAATTCAGCTGCTTTGGCGGAGGTCTGCGCTCTCCGAGTGCTCTAGTTATTATTATTATTATCAGGAGTGAAAAAAATTGTTATATTTACTTTTTGCTTTTATTTACTCCTGTTATTATTATTATTATTGTTGTTATTAATATCGTTATTATTACGATGTTATAGTTACGAATATCATAAAACATTTTGCAGTTGCAATCCTAAGACCGGAATGCTTTTCCCTATATATAGATGTTACGAGTCAATATATTAATGTCATTATTTGTAGTCATGATTGTTATCATTGTTTTGCAGTCGCCCTCCTGAGACCACAGACGGCAACGGTCCTCAATCCGCGCATCATCGACGTTAACACGGCTGTCGACGTCTACCAGGAGATCATGGACCAGGCATCGACCGACGACATCTCGCAGACGTCCCCGTTGGCTGACTGCGATTGGACGCCCATCCCGGACGAGCAGGAGGCGAGGAGTCTCGAGAGCATGCTCTTCGGGCCTGTCGTCGTTGTGACGCTCAGCGGCTCGGCGGCGAGCAAGCGTGACGGCATCACTAAGGACCGGAAGGAGACGAAGAACACGTCGTTGCGCGAGAGCATGAGCGCCGCTGCGTCATCCGCCAGCGACGACGCTGCGTCGCCGCGCGGCAGCGAGTCGCCAGCGTCGCCGAGAAGCAGCGTGTCGCTGGCAACGACGGCGAGCGACAAGAGCGCGTTCGCGCAGACGTCGGCACCAAGGTCGCCTCGGCACAACAGCGGGTTGCGGCCGCCCGGACAGGGCACAAGCAGCAACGCGCGGCTCGCAGCCACGAGGGGCCGCGGGCGTGCGCCACCGCCGCAGTCGTACCATGTTACGGGGAGCAGCAGGGAGCGGCGGGAGCCGAGGGAGAGGACGGCGGGGGCCGGCAGGGACCGGCGGGAGGTGGGTGAGAGCACGGCGGGGGCTGGCAGGGAGCGCCGGGAGTCGAGGGAGAGCACTGCAGGGGCCGGCAGGGAGTGCCGGGAGTCGAGGGAGAGCACGGCAGGAGCCGGCAGGGAGCGGCGGGAGGCAAAGGAGAGCACAGCGGGGGCTGGCAGGGAGCGGCGGGAGGTGGGTGAGAGCACGGCGGGAGCCGGTAGGGAGCGCCGGGAGGCGAGGGAGAGCACAGCGGGGGCTGGCAGTGGCAGGGAGCGGCGGGAGGTGGAAGAGAGTGCGGCGGACGCCGTTGGGGAGAAGCTGGAGATGGGCGAGAGTGTAGCAATATTGAGCCAGAGGAGACGAGAGCAGTGGGAGATTTCTGTCCGGAGTGGCAGAGAGAAATTCACGATGGCAAGGGACGTTTCTGGGACCAACAGGGGGAAACGGGAGAGCACAGACCGTGCTTCTGGGGCTAGCAAGGAGAAACGGGAGTTGGAAAAAAATGCATCTAGGAACAGCAAGGGGAAATGGAAGACAGGAGACAGTGTTTTTGGGGCCAGCAGGGAGAAACCAGAAACAGGGAACAGTGCTCCCGAGGCCAGCAGGGAGAAACGGAAGATGGCAGATAATACTTCTAGAGTCTGCAGGGAGATATGTGAGATTGAAGAAAATGCCTCTAGCATCAGCCGGGAGAAATTTGAGATAGGGGAAAGTGCTTCTGTGGCCAGCTCGGAAAAACGGGAGGTGGGGGACAATGATTCCTTGGCCAGCCAGGAGAAACGGGAGACAGGGGACAGTGCTTCCGGGGCCAGCCGGGAGAAACGGGAGACAGGAGACAGTGCTTCCGGGGCCAGCAGGGAGAAACGGGAGACAGATGACAGTGCTTTCCTGGTCAGCGAGGAGAAACGGGAGACAGGAGACAGTGCTTCCGGGGCCAGCAGGGAGAAACGGGAGACAGATGACAGTGTTTCCCTGGCCAGCCAGGAGAAACGGGAGACAGGGGACAGTGCTTCCGGGGCCAGCCGGGAGAAACGGAAGATGGTAGCGAGCGAAGATGCTGCTGCCACGGCCGGCAAACCAATGAAGACGTTGGAGACGGCGAATTCTCTCCCACCGTGGAAGAGGCCTGCTATACGATCGAAGACGGCCGTCATCAAGAAAGCCGAGCGGCAGAAGTCGTCGCCGGGTGCCATCAGTGCGGCATCGGGACGCCCCGAGCAGAATCACTCTGTCGTGACCTTTGCCCTCATGCCGGCGACCTCGTCAGAGAACAGCGTCGATTCATCGAGACCCGGTCCGGCGACGGCGCAGAGGCCGGCAGACGAGGGGGTCGCCGCGACGACGACGAAGCCGGAAGCTAGACGGGTGTCGGATGCTGCCGCGCGCAGGACGGCAGCCATCGTCACGCGCGCGTACTCTCAGCCTAACATGCGCTCAGCGCCCGAGCCGGAATCCGAGCCTGAGCCAACCCCCAGGGGGCGCCCGCTGTGCGTGTGCTACGTCTGCGGCCGCGAGTTCGGCAGCCGCTCGATCTCGATCCACGAGCCGAAGTGTCTCACCCGCTGGAAGCTCGAGAACAACCGGCTGCCGAAGGGCCGCCGCCGGCCACTGCCGCAAAGGCCTGAGGAGAGCGCCACTGTCGCGGAGCGCAACGCGGCGGCCGAGGCGTCGGCGATGGCCCAGCTGGTGCCATGTGTCGACTGCGGCAGACGCTTCACGGTTGATCGGCTGCCCGTTCACGAGCGCGTCTGCGTGAAGGTGAGTCGCCTGCCATCCTCTCTCCAGTGCAGTGGTTCTTAACCTTTTTTGAGTCATGGACCCCTTTGAGAATCTGGTGAAAGCTGCAGACCCCTTTCCAGAAAAATATGTTTGTGTGCACATCAGCACATAAACACAAAATTTTGCATACAATGGTGTTCACGGATCCCCTGAAGCCCATCCACAGACCCCAAAGGCGTCCATGGACGACAGGTTAAGAACCCCTGCTCTTTTGTATTATATTGCTCACATATTCTCCGTATTCAGTTATACGTATCGAGTTTGTAAGGATTTTATACTGTGGCTAGTATTATAAGTAGCCTGTTGCTTGTGAAGGCCTTCAAGCTCTTGATGTCACAGGTAGAATTTCCATTCTCCCATTACGCTTCATGCACGTTCCTGCATCGTGTTTAGTGTTGTTGGAGTTGGCGGATTAGTATGTTGTTTATGCCTTTCTTTTCGCACGGTAATGCATGCAATGATTTTCATTCTGTTGCTAATAGCTACACATTGATCTACTCCCCCCTTCCCCTCCCCCTGGCTGATGTTATATAACAACTGGGTTTAATATGAGCATCGAGTTTGGAATCTGCACCACCCGATGGGGTATGGGTAACCATAGTAACTGTGGTGGATGGAATGTGGCGCATATAATCACTTGGTGTGTATGTGTGCGCAGTGTAATGATTACCTTCCTATATTAATTTTCTCACTGGTGTGCGTAACGTTTCTTGGAGCACCCTTGGCATACAGGCGGCCGTAGGTCTGCATGTCGTTTCCAAGTTCCGTATTCGTGTGTTAGTGTCTCGGCATTTAGTCTTGAGCTAGAAGATGAGGGGTAAGTGCGAAGTGCCCCTTGTATACCCAAGACGTGTGTCCAGAAGTGAGATGAATTCACATGTATAAGTATTAATCTCACATATTTCTACAATCGTCTAATCACGCAATTAGAGCAGGAGTAGAATGCATAGGATTTAATTTAGAAATTAACTATTTTGTAACTAATCAGCAGCTGATAAATAAAAGTATATGTGAACAATGTAAACGTAAGTGATGCATCGTACTTATAGGTATCTTGTACTATATGCCAAAGCTGTGATCTTGTGTCTCTGGTGGTAGCATACACATATAGAGTACAGCCTTCCCGGCCATGCATTACACGTGGCTGTTTGTTGTTTGGTTTCGTCATCAGTCATCTGTATGTCATACAGTGGAATGCTAAACTGACTTCACGTAAAAGGATACTACGTATTTGTGTGAACTCTTGATTCTTGATGGGTTCTTTGCATGGGGATTGAGCCTAGCATTCTAAATGTAATTGCATTGTAATTTGTATGAGTAATAATAATATAAATGATTACGTAGCTGTATTTGAGTAGGTATACTGTTTACACAGCCAGTTCCTATGCCGATTAGGTTTCAGTTGGCGTATATATGGTTCAACTGACAAAGCCAATCATGGTCCCTGCATGGTAGTCTAGAATATCAATCAATACTAGCCAGCATTATTTACGTGCAATACATAATAGCTACATCGATATAATATACTCTCTGTAATGTTTTGCAGAACAAGAAAGTTGATTCGGTACCAAAGGAACCGGGTAAAATTACTGAGAGTAGGCCAGACATGAAACCACGACCTGTGAGTATACGTGTTCTTACGATATGCGATTATAAATAATTATTCTGAAAATCGCGTTCACAAAAAATCACAACTTGCGTCTTCACCGATTGAAAATAAATGGGTCTTAACCACGTATTAGGTATATGTAGAAGAAAGTTGCATGTCCGTCTACAAATATTAAATGTTTCTTTCTCCTTGTTGGTAACTTGATTGAATTACATGTACACTAGAAAACTTGCTGAGATCTGCTGATTCTGAATTAATTTTGACTCGAGAGTGATCTGCGACCGTCAGCACATCCCAAGTGTGTGATCTTAACTGCATCTGCGCGTTTGCTACGTAGTTGATTTGCTACATCTGCGGCCGTGAGTACGGGACCAAATCTCTGCCGCTCCACGAACCGAAATGTCTCGACAAGTGGAAGCTGCAGAATGCCAGGCTGCCAAAGGCGCAGCGTCGCAAGCCTCCCACCAAGCCTGAGATCGGTTCAGGTGCGTTGCGATATTTTACAGACTGTAATTCTTTGATGAGTAATTTTATTTTAGAGCAAATCCGATGGCTGCCAAACCCGCATGTTGTGGCCACTCAACGGAAATGGCAAGAGTGGTCTTTACAGACAGGCGGTCGTTCTACAGAGATCATATTCTCGTAACTGTCACTGAAAGGGAAATGCCAAAATTTTATGGAGGTGTTTGCTAACACATGTTTAAGTTAAGTTGTGTAGTGTAAATGTTATTATGTTAGTGTAATGTATATTGAAATCTTAAGGCTAACCATTCAATAAGTATTGATTTATCCTACAAGGAAAACATTCTTAATGTTGTCATGAAATACGATGAACTTATTCCAAGATTTTACAAGTGCATGCTTGCCACCTGACATGCACCTTAATCGACCAATGCATATTGTGTGCAGAGACCACCAGTATTGTTCTAGTACATATCCTGGGTCCTTGTGTGCAGACCAGAATCCATCAGGCTAGGTGTGTGCTGGTTTAGGGTATCCCCTATTGTTTATAATAACTAGCCAACAACAGGAGGCTCAATGTTGCTTCAATCAGATCCTTGGCCCACGAAGCAGAGCGAGTGAATGCATATACACGGGACAGCAGCTGGCAGGTTACCCATAACCAATCTCCCTCCCCCCACACTCCTTGATAGCTACCTTCATCCAAATTGCATGTGCCATCCTCCAGCTGAGCCAACTAGTTATTTATTATTGTTGTCATTATTACTATTATTATTCATCATTATAAATAATTTTTTTCTCTCTCTGAATTCTGTAGGTGACCATGTGACGTGGCAGCAATTAGAGACAGTGGCATATGCTAGCAGCATACTATTATTATTATTATTATCATTATTGTTGTTATTATTATTACCTCCGCCAGGGGCTTGGCGGAGGTTATGTTTTCACCGGCGTGTGTTTGAGTGTTGGTTTGTGGGTTTGTGGGTTTGTGGACGCTCGCTGATTGGCTGATTGGCCCGCCGCCGCCGCCGCCGCCGCCGCGCCAGAACCGCCTGTATCATACAGGTTAAGCCTAACTGAAAAAGTTATGGACGGATTGTCATAAAATTTTCAGGATGACTATAGTCCAGAAATCGACTTACTTAGAATTGATGAGATTTTGGTGGTGATCCGGATCCAATTAATTATTTAATTAATTAATTAATTAATTAATAAAAAATTTCACATTGAGAGAATTCAGCTGCCTTGGCGGAGGTCTGTGGTCTCCGAGTGCTCTAGTTGTTATTATTATACATCATTTGTCCCTCTCTGCTCTCTCTCTCTCTCCGTAGGCGGCATTGTGACGCGTGAGCAGCTAGAGGTGGCAGCGTACGCGAGTGCACAGTCGCAGCTGCTCCCGTGCGCTAACTGTGGCCGCACCTTCGCACCCGAGCGTCTCCCTGTGCACCAGCGCAGCTGCCGGCCTCGGCTCGACGGCCAACCCCCCACCTCCAGCCTGCAGGTCACCCAGGTAAGCAAGCGGCGCCTCGTGTGATCGCGCCGATGGGGGGGAAGGACTTCAGGCCGGCTGTTCCGGACAGCAGGCTAGGATTAGGTTAAGGTTAGAGTCAGTGTTAGGCATTGAAGAACATTGTCTTGTTGTTGTTTGGCAATTGGCTTCATGCTGGTTGTATACCCCGGTTTTATGTTCCCCCTGAGTTCTTCAGCAGCCCACCGTGTTGACTGGTTCTACACCAGAATTATTCTCGCTTTACTGGTTGGACACCCTTGTTCATCCCACTATGCATCCCCTTCCCTATTCACTGATTGTACACACCTGTTCTTTTTCTTTCCGTATTCTTCAGATGCCGACTCGTATGCTGATTGTATATCTCCCTTCTTCCCACTTCACTGGCTGTACAACCCTATTCCTCTCTTCCTGCGTTCTTTAGAGGCCCACTCATCCTTCGTCCTGCTTTCCTGGTTGTACCTCTCCTCGCTTCCAGCTTTTCTGGTTGTACATACGTTTCTTTCAACTTTGCTGGTTGTACCTCCCTTCTTTTCCAGTTTGATGGTTGTACGTCCTCCCTCTTCCAGCTTTACTGGTTGTACGTCCCCTCTCTTCCAGCTTTGCTGGTTGTACGTCCCCTCTCTTCCAGCTTTGCTGGTTGTACGTCCCCTCTCTTCCAGCTTTGCTGGTTGTACGTCCCCTCTCTTC